TTTTGTCTTCAGCGATCATGTGAGGAAGATGATCATGAAATGCCAGGTTATTAGAATAAAGTGTTCTTGCATTGAGAGAGTACTTGAGTGGAGGCCCAATGTCCGTCTGCTACCTTAAAACTTCACATATAAATCTATGTACATAGATCTATTTCCCTGTCGTGATAAATATATTTACATATGTATATGCCTGTGTTTCGACTTCTATAAATTCCCATTTGCCTCCTAGCTCTTTCCTCTATTTCCCTTTACTTTCCTCTTATCCCACTATTATGTTCGGCCTTCATTCGGGTTTCAGTAATTCCTCTCGGTTACAGTGCCCTTGATCAAGCTCTATCAGGCATCCTACACCCTTCCTGTCATCAATTTTAGATCACTTGTATTACCTTTTCCCTAGGTATATTATCATCCACTTCCTTTGCCCCGCCTACCCCTCTCCTGTGACCCCCCCCAAATGTTGGTCTCGTTTTCTCCTGCAGATTGTTTATCCCATCTATCTTATCTAGATAGATGTGCAGAGACATAATAAGCACAAAAACAAAACGGAGCAAAACTAAACAACAAAAAAACCAACGACAAAAAAACAACAACAAACCTATAAATAGTTCCAGGTCTGTTTGATGACCTTTAGGAGTGTTTTCTAGTCGAGTCTGATGGGGTGCCATGCTCTGGCCCCAAAGTCTATTTTTGGTATTCCCTGGGGACTTCATTGCTTTGCTCCCCTTGCTCTGTTGCACACCCTTAGCATATCACCCCAGTGTGGTGGGGTCAGATAGGGCACAATTCCCGCACTGTGCCTCCAGTCAGTGAGGGACTTCATATCTCATGGTGGGGCCGGCCCTATGGTCCTCTCTATGCATTGGCTGCTCTGAGCAGGCGTATCCCCCTTGGGGGTTGGTGGGCCAGGATGTGCTCCACTCTCTTCTTTCCTCTTCTTTTCCTCCTGTATGCTCTCATCAGATATGCCGCTCTCCCTGAGCTGTAGCTTCAGTGCTGTCCTCTGAAGTGAATTCTTCTGGGGGGAGGGGGTGGGGGGTCTCCTTGTAGCTGGGATTGGGGCCAGCCTCTCTTATTTTTTTGTATTTTGTTATTATCAGGATGGTTTTTAATCAGCATTTTCAGCCTGCAGATGAAAAATGACATGAATTCCACTCAAATTTGTATCAGAATAGAATTGTTGGTAAAATTCTCTATCCATTCATAAAACAGGCATGTACCACTTCATGTCTAAATTGTTGGTAAAATTCTCTATCCATTCATAAAACAGGCATATACCACTTCATGTCTACTATGCATTCTTTAAGATAGGATGTTAGGTGATTTAGACGTTGTGCCAATAGCATATTTTATACAGGCCATCCCTGTATAATCCACGGTTAAATCCCTATAAAACCCATTATATTGAAACCTTAGGGGAACTTACCAAACAAAAGAACTGGCAAGCAAAGCCCAAGAGCTGGTTCCACTGCATACAGGACCCCCCGGCTGTCAAGGCATGCCTCTGAGCCCAGCAGGGTTTGCACTTGCAGCCACATTGGGACATTGTTCACATATCCTGACACACAGAGGGAGAGAAG